CAGCTCACGGCTGCTCAGCTCGGGCTGACTCGAACCACTGTTGCTCAGAGCTCAAACTCTTGAGCGAGCTCTTAACCAACTGAGCCACTCAGCCGGCCCGCTCATATTCTTTAATCTACTAATTTCTCTAAGGAAATAATCCAAAATGTGAAAAGTGTTATATACACAAAGATATTTATCATTTACAAAAGAGAAAAGTGGAAATAATATAAATATTCAACAAAAGGCAAACTCCTCACAGCCACTAGAAATGAAGGCTATTAGAAAAGAGTATGTTGCAATGTGGAAAAATGCTTATGAGAAAATATGGGGTAAAAATAATCAGAAGATGGTACAGAGTTTCTCTTTGGAAACATGAAAAAGTTCTGGAGATGGATGGTGGTGATGGTTGCATAATGCTGTGAATGTACTGAATGCCACTGAACTGTACACTTAAAAATGGTTAAAATGATAAGTTTTATGTTATACATATTTTACTAGAAAAAAATCACAAGTCAAAAGTGAACATGAACTATGATTAGAGCTAAGGAAAAAAGAAGACTGAAAAAAAACATAAACTATAATATTGGTATAATTGGTAATGTAGAATAATTGGATGTAGAATAATAAAATTTTATAACTGCCTTTCTCTATTTTCCCACTGTTTTTGGCATATGATTATAGTATCTATATTTTAAAGAGGACATATTTGTATTCTGATTGCAGATTTACCACATAGTAACTCCACTCATGAATTTAGATCTGCATTTGACAAAACAGTTTCTAGAGACTCCCTGCTATATCAAATTTAGTAAGTGTATTTGGAAAATAGGGTCTCCAGATCAAATAAGCTCGGAGAGATCTGGATTGAATAAAGTTAAACAGGTTCCTTAACTACAGCTGCCTTCTTTACTATAGGACTTTTCCAGTGTTATCAACATGGTATCGTATAATGTGAATAAGCTGGAAGTGAGGAAAGAATTCATTCTTTTTTTTAGCTGAGCCATCCTGCCACCTGTTGGAAGCTGTTGCAGCTCAGCTTGGGCCAGGAATTGAACCAGTGATCCTATTGCTCAGAGCTCACACTCTTGAGTGAGTGCTTAACCAACTGAGCCACTCGGCCGGCCCTGAGAATGCATTCTTTTTTACAGTTTTAGACCATAGAACTCTTTAGTAGAGAAGTATTTCTCAGGACTATGGTTCCAGGAAACAGAATTTGGTAAGTACTGCTTGAAGTAGCTTTTTTTTTTTTTTTTAAATTGGGGAATTGGGGGGATGGGAACAGTGCTGGGGAATTGGGGGAAGGAGAACAGACAAGTTGCTGTCGTTTTTGTTCTTCAATCTAGTTGTGGAGGACGTTGCTTCACTGGCCCAAGTTGGCACCATCATTGCGCTCTTCCTGGGCGAGGCAGATCAGTCGCCGGCTTCTGGACGGCCGCTCACTGCGGCTGCTGGCCGCTTACGCTGGCTGCTGGCTACATAAGGTAGCCCATGGCAACCCACTGTCACAGGGAGTGCAGCCTATGCCGTCGCCGGCGACTCATGGCAGCCCAGCTCCAGGTTGAGCTGTCGTTCAGCATCTTAGCTGTGGAGGGCAGTGTCACTGGCCCTCATATGTGGGATCTGAACCGGGGCTCTCTGGTGTCCCAAGCCAGTTCTTAACCATCACGCCACTCGGCCGGCCCTGAAGTAGCTTTTAATATACCTGTATTTCAATTCCCTTCTCATGACAATGAGGCTAATCAATCAGATTGTTCAAAGGATTAAATGAAATATATATTTTAATACATATGTTGCTATAGATGTATATTTACTTACAGATACAGATATGAAAGAACCTGGGTGATAATAATTGCTGAGTAAATGTTTTTCTCCTTCTCGTGTTCCACTGAGACATTTTGTACAAACCTATACCCAAAAGAGACAGGGTTTTATTTACCCAGCGACAGACATTGAGTGTACCCACAGCATATATTTCTAAGCAATTACATAATACTCTCAGCTTGTTAATAAAAACCAATTGCTTATATTATGCTTTTCTGTTTGTGATGGCTATTCACCCACATGATCTCAATCTATCCTCACTCCAACCTGTGAAGTAGACAGGTCAGGTAGTATTATTAATTTCACTTAACTGATGAGAAAAACAAAAGCTTAGAGGGAATCAAATCCGTGGCCAAGGTCCCAACACTGGTTCATAGTAGAGCTGTCACTCTGACCTGCATGTTCTGTTTCTGAATCTCATCCCCGCCCCGCCCCAGCAATACCTATGAACCTAATTTGTATCTCTGGAACCTTTCATTTGAGTTAGGTGTCAAAATCCTCAATGCCAATCCATCAGAGAGAGCCTCTTGGGCTGGTAGATACAAATGAGCTTCTATTTTCTCTTTGAAATCAGAAAGAAGGAGAAGGAGAAGAAAAACTAAAAGCACTTCCTTGCAGTAATAGTTTTGCTTGGGTATGTATGTTGTCAGTAGAGTCCTCCAGGAAGGGAGGGGCTGGGAATTTCTGACAATATAGCCCTTGAACAGAACTGGGACTTCCAAAACAAAAGCGCTTTTGATGCTTTTGAAAGCTGATGTTCTAGATGAGTGTCTGAATCTTCTACTGTAGGGCAAAGCCCAATTGCTCCCTGGAGTAGTACTGGGACCTGGCCAGTTACTCCTTAGATCTTGACACTAGAGTATCCAGCCACAAATAAAATAGTCATGGCTGTGTGCCTAGG